TTGGGCTTCTACTGTAAGGGTCCAAAGGACCCAATAATCGGGTACTTTGGTTACGGATAGTAGTAATCTAGCTGAATATTTGGGAGGGTGTATGATTGTTAGGCACTTAGACCCTTAGGGTTAGGCCTTTGGGCTTTGGGTCCTCTCTGTAGGGTTGAGGGTTTAGGGTTTAGGGATTTAGGGATTTAGGGATTTAGGGTTTAGGGTTTAGGGTTTTAGGGTTTGTTTGTTTAGGGTTTAGGGTTTTGGTTTAGGGTTTAGGGTTCAACGGTTTTGGTTTGGGGTTTAGGGTTTACTGGCCGTAGGAGTTGCAATTCAGGGATTGCCAGCTTGGAACTTTTCGTTCGCGAGTCTGGGGCCCTCTGGTTTAGTTTGGGGTTTAGCTTTGGTCTAGGGTTTAGTTTAGTTTTAGTTTTAGTTTTAGCTTTCGTTTAGTTTTAGCTTTAGTTTAGTTTTAGTTTAGTTTCGTTTCGTTTAATTTAGCTTAGTTACTTTAATTTAGTTTTGTTTTAGTTTGAGATTAGCAACTGCGAGTCGAGGGTCTGAAGCTAAGCCGCTTCAGGCTGCGAGGCCCCGGCCAGAAAGCCTGGGACCCCCTCAGCCAGCCCGATCCCTCAGCTCTAAACCCCACGCCACCCGGGTTTAGGGTGCTTTAGGGCTTTAGGGCTTTAGGGCTTTAGGGTTTTAGGGCTTTGGGGCTTTAGGGCTTTAGGGCTTTAGGGTTTCAGGGTTTAGGGTTTAGGAACAGCCTCCAGGAAAGTATATCAACTAAACTAGGGTGCCCCATGCTTTCATGATGTTTAAAGTTTACACCCGATCCATCCATCCACTGATCCGTCTATCTATCTACGTATCTATGTCAATCTATGTGTCTATGTATCTATCTATCTGTCTATCCACCTAACCAACTATCTATCCAGCCATCCGGCTACCTGATAATCGTCTGTCTGTCTATCTGTCTATCGGCCAATCCGTCTATGTGTCTATCTGTCTATCCGTCCGTCTATCCGTCCATCTGTCTATCTGCCAATCTATCTACCTGTCTATCTAGCTGTCTGTCTATCTGCCTGCCCGGCTGCCTATCTGTTTTTCTGTCTACCTGACCCTAAACCCTAAACCCTAGACCCTAGACCCTAAGCCCTAAACCCTAAACACCCTAAACCCCAAAAAAACCGTAAGAACCCGAAAAACCCTAAACCCTAAGCCCTAAACCCCAAACCCTAAACCCTAAAAATCCTAAACTCTGTCTGTCTGTCTGTCCATCCCTAAAACCCTAAGAACCCTAAAAACCC